CAAAAAAAAAAAAAAAAAAAAAAAAAAAAAAAAAGACAATGGTATCAAAATTCTTCTACTCTCAACCCTTATTTTGTCTTACTTGAAATATAAATTACTAGCTAGGCATTGTGATGCACGCCTTTAATCCCAGCACTTGGGAGGTACAGGCAGGTGGATTTCTATGAGTTTGAGGCCAGCCTGGTTTACAAAAAGAATTTCATGACGGTCAAAAGTACACAGAGAAACCCCGTATCAAACCAAAAAAAAAAAAAAGAATGAAATGTAAATTACTAACACAAAAATGACAAAAGTGTACAATAGTAGACAACTATCCCAATAGATGAACCAACATTGGCACACTAATTACTTCATTTATGTGCGTTTCCTCAGTCCTTCCTGCTTCCCGCTTTTTGAGTCAGGTCTGTGGCCACCATGCCCAGTTCCCTTTCTCCTCCATGGCTTTTGGTTAGCATGCCACATTAAGAGCCCCCGAGTGTTATCCTGGCCTTGGCAGTATTTTATAGGATGCCCATGTGCTGTCTCTTGCCTCTCATGACATAGAATATGAATGTTCTAAGACCACAGAGTCAAGTGTTATTTTCATCGGGTTACATGAAGGTGATACTGTCGGCGTGACTTTTCCCTGTTGGCATCACCTGTCCGGAGCACTGTCAACCCATTTCTATACTGTAGTCACACCCTGCCTACCTTTTCTTACTGGAGAAAACTTGTTTTGCAAACTCCACTTGTGAGCACTGGGTTCCCTTCTTCAAGATGGAGTGACAATACAGTTAACTATTCTGCATTCTCTCCTCTACTATGGAGGTTTTCCTCTTGGGGTCACAACCAGGTCTTTGTTATTCTGAGACAGCCCGTACTGGGGGGGTAGGAGGAACTTTCACTGATAACCTTGTTTTTTGAAACTCTACACTACAGACCCAGCTATTTCCCAAAACAGGCTTAGAATTAACTTCTCTAGTCCCAAGTGTTCACATTGGGATTAAGATTCAGGTGTTGCTGTTGGGTAAAAGGCTTCTAGAGGAATGACTGTTACCCAGCTGTCAGCTCATACAGGTATACGAAATCATGTGGGTTCGAGATTCAGAACTTGAAAAAACCAAAATAACCTCCAATTTGAAAAATCCCAGTCCTGGCTGGGCGAGGTGGCTGTCGCCTTTAATCCCAGTACCTAAGAGTCATGTGATCTGTGAGCTCAAGGCCAGTCTGGTCTAGATAGCAAGCTCCAAGCTAGCAAGGGCTACACAGATACTACCTAAAATAAAGGTACAAAAATAAATCCAACTCCTGTTTGCCTTCGACAATTTTCCAAAGTAATACAAGTCACTACCTCCAACTGACCATGCTGAAAAGGTCCAGTGTATGAAGTGCTCACACAAATCGAAGCATTTGTGAATTACTCTTCCCTTTACACTTGCTGTTTCTGTTTTTATAGTTAAGATGAGAGTTCAAATAGTTTAGAACAGCCTTGAACTTTGTCGAAAGGGTAACTTTGAACTTCACACCTTCTTGCGTCTGTGAGGGCTGGGATTACAGCTGTGCACCTCCACTGCCTGCCTCATGCAGGATGGGCAATCCACCCTACCAACTGAGACACAAACCCACCCTGACTTCACCTGTGTCTTCAAGGTGTTGTTAGTGTCCTCTCGGAGGGTAGGGTTACAAAGCATATACCTCTACATCCAGTTCACGTTCCTGATCTGACCCACCATAGAAACTTGATTTAAGACTGTAATATACCCGTGCTATGGAAGGTCAAGAAGGCACCACATAAATCTTTTAGGCACTTTTTATTTTCAAAAAAAAAAAAATTGTCGTTAATATATAAACATCTCATTCTCTCAAAAAATTCTACAGCTATACAGCTGCTTGCTGATATTTGCATAGGAAATTACCACAATACAAAAATAAGGGACGAAGCAGCAGAACAGCAGCCGAGTTATGCTTTTGATGTAGGTGTGTCCACGTATAAACATCTTGGAGCCTTACAAAACTATTTACACCGTTTGTTGCCTATTTACACGTCAAAGCAACTTTTCTAACAAACGAAACTATAATTTATCAAGTTATGAAAATTGTTTTCTAAAAAAAAAAAAACTTACTATATTACCACAAAATAAATAATGATAAAACAATATTTTAAAAACAAGATTTTTAATTAAGACCGCTTTTGGCATTTTGCTTGTGATTTCTGCCCTTTGGTTAACAGCATCCATGTCACATTCCTAGCCGTATTGCATATTGGTAAGCTTTCAACACATCACTGATATTAAAGGCAGACAACGAGTCAGTATTAACAACAGGTTAACTACGTGGCACTGTAATTTCAATAAAATTACTGTGTCTCACTGGGTATTACATGCAAAAATCCGCAAAAATTGTCATTTAACCAACAGCACTGCATGAGCAAACATCCTAGTCTGAGAGAAACTGCACCAGAAATTCAATGCTTCCACGAGTGAAAACAGCGTCTTTAAGATCAACAAGGAACACAACAATCCTTCTCCACTTAGAAAAAAAATGATACTGTTTAACTAATGGTAAGACCATTAATGTCTGTGTATTGTAACTATCTTTAAGCATTTCAGTTTAAATTCACATAAAAAAAACTCTCATATTTAAAATAAAATCTTATTTCAATCAGTGAGTGAAATTTGCATTTTACTCTCATTTGAATGATTAGCCCCTCCCCCCAAAAATGGTTTTGGTAATTTGAGAGGTATCTTACCACAAACTCTAACTGTAAATGTATTCATAATTATTTTCAAAAGTATGATTTCTCCCCCCCAAACAATTCTCTTAAAAACTTGTAATAAACCTATAAAGCTGATTTGCATATTTACAAAATTCTGAATAGCAAATATAGGCAACTCATATAAAACAAAACAAAACAAAAACATTTGTTCAATGGCTATTTGTGAATTGCCAGGTACACTGTGTACCTCCCATCTATGGAAATAATCTAATCTTAAGAAAAATGAGTCCACGTCAAGTAAAATCTTGACAATCTGTCTGGGTGCCTGCCAATCGGTTTACCCTAAACAATGTCACACATGACTGCGTGTGTGCAGTCTGTATAAGAAACAGCATACGCACCCCGTGCACCCCCACCAGTTCCCCATGCTGAGATGCGGCTGCCTGTCTGGAGATGAAGTTTGCTGGAATAAAGCTAGTGGTTGAGCATGACAGCAAGCTTCCAGGTTCTCAAAATGACCAAACACTTTGGTATTGATACAATGTATTCCCTGTGGCCTCAAATATACAAAATATACATTTCCAGTTCTTTTGATTTTTTTTTTTATATGAAGTTAGGTCTGCGGTTTAAAGGATGGCGGAGCGGACTGCGAGGCGTCGAGCGGCTTGGCGCAGTGCTCAGTTCTGGTGGCGCTTCATGTGCAGCGCGAGGTGGTCGGAGCGGGAGAAGCTGCGGTTGCACACCACGCACTGGAACGGCTTGGCACCCGTGTGCTTCCTGTAGTGGCGGGTCAGCTCGTCCGACCGGGCAAACCTCCAGTCGCAGCCCTCCCAGGTACACTTGTAGGGCTTCTCACCTGTGACAAGGAAGAGACAGGGTGAGGTGGTCTGCTGCAAGACCAACTGCAAAGCCCACACCCCATCCCCACTGGGAACCGCGCAGCGCTGCCTCGAGGACAATACGGTATGTCACAAGCTGGAGTTGGGAATCAGTCCACCTGGCCTTCCACACTACAAGGCCAACCATATAAACCAGAAAACTTGAAATATTTATCTAAACACTTTGCATTTGATTTTTTTTTTTAATTCCTTAAGTAAGCCAGAGTCTGGTACTGATAGATTTAAACTGATAAGGAAGGCATGAGGTTTTCCTTTCTCTTTTTGAGTGCTAAGGATATTAAAGCGGTGTCCTTCAGCATGTTAGGCAAGGGCTACTGAGCCCTTGTCTCCAACCCATAATTTCAGCATTTGCTGGTACACAACAAGGGTGATGAACTTTGTCTATGACAACGGCCAACTCCACAAGGGTTATCAAAATTCTATGAGGTTGGACGTGGTGGTCCAGGCCTTTAATCCCAGCATTTGGGAGGAAGATGCAGGTTGATCTGTGGAGTTCTTGGCTAGCCTGGTCTACAGAGTGAGTTCCAAGACAGCCAGGGCTACATAGAGACCCTCCACCCCCAACGTACTCAATGAACAATCTGGCAATTGTCCAGGCCACAGCAAATTTGTGAAATATAATAAAACAAGAAGGGCAGGCCTCGGGGAAGTACACTATTGACACCTAAAAGCCTGGCCCAATCTTTCTGGTTCCCCGCCCCCAGGCCCAGCCATCTGCATTTAACAGTGAGCTAATATCTGAGCCCATCCCATTGTACAATTTCTCTGATTCCTAATGTTCTCCCAAGTTTGCCAGCCACTTCCAAAAATGACTCAATATTTATAGTACAATTTTAATTTAGGATCATGTATTTTTTCTATGTAAATACTCCAAATTTCATGTTTTTGAGCACTCCAATTTGTCATGACTTCATTTGTTATTTGCTTTTTGCTGGGGTTTTCATGAATAAATTGTCCCCAACTTCCTTTCAAAAGGTTTCCTTGTGGCTGGCCTGAGGCAGAAAAGATTGCTGCTGAAAGCCAGCTTGGGGTGAAAGGGGAGAGACGCGGGTTGTTCTGAGCAGAGCAACTGCACAACCTTTCTTGTCTAACTTAGCAGTGTTCTGTACACTGGTGGCTGCTCAGGTGAATGTCAGTACCACAAAAGCTGCAGCTTCTGCAGTCGGTGACTAACATATCCTCCATTGTCCTGATCGATAGTGACTCTACAGTCTAACAACAGGACAAAGAAGCAACAGCCAGAATGAATCACGTGAAACTGGTTCCTTCCCTCACAGGAGCTCACCCTGGCCTTCTCTCTCTGGCCCTGCTTCTGCCTCTGATGTAAAAAAATGAACATCTTGGCCGGGCAGTGGTGGCGCATGCCTTTAATCCCAGCACTTGGAAGGCAGAGGCAGGCGGATCTCTGAGTTTGAGAGTTCGAGGCTAGCCTGGTCTACAGAGTGAGTTCCAGGACTACACAGAGAAACCCTGTCTCAAAAAAACCAAAAAAAAAAAAAAAAAAAAAAAGTGCACGTCTCAGCCAGGCATGAAGGTAAATCCCTGTAATTCCAATACTGGTGGGGCTAAGGCAGGGGGATTATGATTTTTGAAACCAGCCTACACTACATATAACAACGTGCTATCTCAAAAAAAGTCAAATGTACATCTAGATTCTAAATTTCTCCTCCATCACACGTGTGTGCTGTGCTGTTTGTGTGTGGTATGTGTGTGTGTGTGGCATGTGCGGTATGTGTATGGTCGTGTGTATGTGTGGTATGTGATGTGTGTATGTGTGGTATGTGATGTGTGTGTGTGGGGTATGTGTATGGTCATGTGTATGTGTGGTATGTGATGTGTGTGGTTGTGTGGGGTGTGTGGGGTGTGTGGTGTGTGTGTGGTGTGTGTGGGGTGTGTGGTGTGTGTGTGGTGTGTGTGGGGTGTGTGTGGTGTGTGTGTGTGGGGTGCGTGTGGGGTGCGTGTGTGCGCGCGCACACGTGCACACGCTGAATCACTGAGTATGTCACCTTGTAGCTCTGTCTGGTGAGTTTGAAGACGTGAGCTTTCCTCCCTCATAGTAAACTCAGTCTAGAATGTTACACTAACACTCCAGGCTTTTAAGTAGAAGTCATTTCTCTTCATTTACATCCACACACAACGCTGGATTCACAGAAAGACTTTAATGGTAACTGTTACTATCTGGATCGGGAGTGTCAATCACATAGAAGAAAGCTTCACACAGAAAAGTCTAGCGAAAAAAAATTTACAGTAACAAGCATGGCTTTCCTGTCATTCCACGGGAGAGAGAGGTCTAATTCTGGTGTTTAAATCAAGAAAGAAAAAAAAAAAACTTCCTCGGAGTCCCAATTTAAGAAGGATCATTCATGCCTTTTGAATTTAATAATTACATAGCATAGAATGAAGTTTCAGGGTCTATGTTAGAAGCAGGGGACACTGAACTCTTTTTGTTCACTGTTTTTATTGGCTGCAAAGCCATAAACTGCACCAATATTTTGTCAAGTTGACTTTACTGATTGGTTGACATACAGTAGCCATTAAAGTTCCTAAAACATTTGGGGTTTTGCTCTCACATAAGTGCATCTATAGCTTGTTCAGCCAAGAATACCACCAGTGTCTGGAAGGGCAGGAGCCGGGGCCAAGGCTTACTATAAAAGCACGGATGACTATCCCCCTACTTGGGGCAGTTTCTATGGGATTTGTTCAAGTGTCAACACTGTTCAAGTAAAACATCGCAGCGGAAGCTGGTACCCCATTTCTGGCTAAAGAGCAGACTCAAGTCTTTTTTCCTCAGCCAGAAACACTACGGCCAGTACTTCTGGGAAAGCAAACTGACTTCCTCCAAGTTACATTTCAACAGGCTAGAGCTTTCAAAACTTTAATTGGATTTTTAAAGAATCTCTTTCCAATACCACCAATTTGAAATACTCGGTTAAGCTCTTTCGACATCCACTGTATTTATTTTTAAGCCCTGCTGCTAGCGTCAAACTATGGCAGGGCAAAGTGAAAACAGTGGCAAGCTTGTGTGCTGTGGAAACCCAATGTATCGCACGGCGTGCATTTGCTTCTCAGCCTTACAGTTAAAGAGATGGCTGAAGAAGCCCCCGTCTCTGAAAAACATGCCCAAGTTAAACACACTTACTCCTCATGCCGATAAAACTGATTAGCATACTGTATAAAAACCTCAGCAGAAACTACAAGAGGAAAGAGACAAGCCTCCATCAGGTCTCCAGGAGTCCACTCTAAAGCTAGTAAGTTCTCTACCTCTACCTTCAACCCTCAAGAGCAACTCCAGAAGTTAGAAGCCGACCGATTGGCTCTACATTAAGAGTCCCGGGGTCTGCTGCTCTCTTATGTCCCACTTAAGTCTTCCATTAGCAAACAGTTACTACACTCTTCAATTCAAGAAATGGATACATACATATTGTTCAAATTTACTTGGATTCTACCACCTCTCGTGAAGGGGAAAGGGACTCAGAGACCCGTAAAAGCCTGTTGTGAAGTTTGAGGCGCACTGTAGCTGGACTGGTCAGTTGCAGAGACTCATCTTTTTTTTACAGCTTCAAGGGACCCAGAAAGCTGTTCCACACTAGAACTGACAATCTCTAATGCTACCCTAAAGAGGGTTCCCTTCTCCATGTTTGAGAATGCTTGTTTTGCCAAGTATTAAAAAGACAATCCTCAATAAGAAACAACATTATCTATTTTTCTTGGTTGAACAGATTTTTTTCATTTTCTGACCCAACTACAATAGAATGGAGGTCTCTCTGCTCTGTTGAACATATTCAATAGTCGGACAGCAAGGCTCTTTTCTAGAAAGTTCTACATAGACTGTTGTAACAAAGGAAATGAGGTAACTCTGAAGCCTATTTTACAGTAAACAGGTATGATTCCTTCAATGATTGAAAGATGCTCTAAATCAATCTAGTAAGAGCCCCCAAACCACCAGAACTGAAGAGGGAGGGCACAGCCTGCACTAGGAACGAACGCCTGGCATGAAGAAGATGGTGTCTGACCAATCACTATGTTCCCTAACATTACCTTGTCTGTCTTGTGGGTATTAGTTCCTGAAACAGACTCAATACTAGGCCTGCTAATAATCAAAAGGGGAAACATAATAATACAATTAAGGAACTATGGCAAAATAAGATTTACATATCTGAGAAAAGTGATAGTGACTTTGGGCTCGCTGACTTGTTTATACAACCATGCTAGTACTTTTCCATGAAGAGATTTTATTCGGGGTTTGTAGCAGCAGTGGTCTCCTAGACCTGGAACAGGAAGGTTTGCCCTGTAAGCTGAGGCTTCCTGAGTGTCAGTAACGGCCCATCCACGGGAAGTAATGTTAAAGAGCTCACAGAACTCCCTTCTTCGTCGAGTTTCTCAACTCATCCTTTTAAATCCAAATCCTATTCTCCCTTCTAGAAAAAAAACCTGACCTTGAGTAGCCACTGCACTGTGTCCTCACCACATGCACTGACTTTGACTTGGGCTGGGGATGCGCCTCAGTGCTAGAGGTTGTGGTTTTCCTGCACAGGGTGGTAGGTTCAGTCCCCGGATCAAATGCACTTGAGTCAGTCAGTTATTTAATGAAGCCCTAGGCAAGGAGGGGAAAGGATAGGATCTCAGGGGGCTATATTTTGTATTCCTGACTACCCTTCTGTTCTGTATTCCCCATCTTCTGCCTCTGAAAACTGTATGGGCCAAATCTGAGCAGTTCTTCTCATAATGAAGATGAGGGAAGGCTGGCTCAGGCTTGGGACCACTGGGGTAATGTGAATATATTTGACAATCTTGCTTTGAGTGTCTTCAGGATAAAATTCTAGAATCCCTTATCCTGAAGATACACGGGTCACAGATTCTCTGTAAACAAAATTCCTTCTATGGAACTGGAGTAGTTTCTGAAAGGCCTGGAGGCCTTTCATGGGGCTTTCTAAGGGGAACCAGAACTTGCTCATCT